TTCCCAATGTAAGTCGCCCGGTCATCTAAAATATCGAACGCTGACCCACAGACCCGACACCAGAAAGCAGTTACGCGGAGATCTTGCAGTATCACTTGTGAGTTCAGCTATTGTTGAAATCTACTTAAGATCCCGAGAATTGACTACAAGCACTCCGCATGTATGAGTCACAACCTTCTATTCCATGCAATTCTGAAGTATCATTAGGGTACGAGCTCACAGAGAGATGTCACTGTATCTGTAGAACTTTCGGGTTTAGAGATCGATTATCGATTAATGTCTAAATCAGATCTGCCTGCCCTGAAGCGCACTCGTGATTTCTTACAGTGACTCCAAAAATTTTACTACTTCGACGTCCTCTCCTCTCTCCTACATCATCTAAAATGTCTGTTGGCACTATATACACCTCCCCCGGAAAAGAATCAGGAAAACTCGCAAGTAATCTCTTATCGATCCGCGAATCAGTCATTTGAAAGAACCCGCGATGTAGATCAAGGCAGTCGCTGCCTTCGGTGGTGTTTCCATCGATGTGGATAGTGAATACAAGCATATGGAAACCAACAAAACCCCTGAATTTTTGGCCAAATTCTCCCATGGAAAGATTCCAGCATTTGAAGGGAAGGACGGATTCAAGCTTTTCGAAGGTGTCGTTATTGCCAAGTACAGTAAGTCGTCACCAATCTTTGAGGGAACAGTGAACAAAAATCTGCTTCACATGATGGGCGTTGTAAATTTTGGAATTCAGTTATTCTGGTCTTAACATCCATGTCGACACTTTCTACATCTGTTTTAATCGTGTTGTCCGATCGGTTGAAAGGTTGCTGATTCTTCGTTTTCAGTTGCTTCGCTGGCTCCCAACTCTGGTCTTCTGGGATCAAGCCAGACAGACGCTGCCCTTGTCGACCAATGGATTCACCTTATTGAACTCGAATTTGGTTTACCGACTGACATAATTAATCTATTGGTCAGCGGTAGAATTCCTTACACAAAACCAGTGCGTTTCGTTCATACTGAATGACTTTTGAATCTAATTCCAATTCCAATTTCTGTAGCTTCACACTGTCCTTCTCGAGCGTCAAGAGCGGACTCTCACTACCCTCAATAAACATTTGACAGAAAACACATTCCTCGTCGGAGAACGTATCACGGTTGCAGACCTTGCATTTGCTGCTTACCTACAACGCGGTGCAACTATTTCTTTCGACGCTGCTCTCCGTGCTAAATTTCCTTCTGTTGTTCGCCTGCTTGAGACTATTCTTAACCAACCACAACTGAAGGACGTCTACGGAGAGACTGCCTACGTCGAGAAAGGTCTTCAGTTCACTCCCCAGCCTAAGGAGAAAAAGGAGAAAGAACCCAAACCTGCTTCTGCTCCGAAAGAGAAGAAACCCAAGGCAAAAGAAGTCGAGCAAGAAGAGGAGGAAGAGCCTTTGGTTCCCGCTGAGCCCAAGGAGAAGAATCCTCTAGACGATCTTCCTAAATCCTCTTTCAATCTTGAGGATTGGAAACGTGCGTATTCCAACAAGGACACACGTGGAAAGGACGGTGCGCTCGAGTGGCTGTACGAGCAGTACGTAGCGTCGCTTCGTTTCGGTTTCTATTCATCCTGATAGTCTTACAGCTTCGACAAGGAGGGCTTCTCTCTTTGGAGAGTGGATTTCAAGTACAATAACGAGCTTACACAGACATTTATGTCTTCAAACCAGATCGGCGGTTTCTTCAACCGTCTCGAAGCTTCTCGCAAGTACCTATTCGGTTCTATGGGTGTCCTTGGACAGACCAACGACTCTTTGATCTCTGGTGCCCTAATTGCTCGAGGTCAAGATATCGCTCCCGTCATCACTGTCGCTCCCGATTGGGAATCCTACTCTTATTCTAAGATTGACCTGTCTGATCCTGCTCAGAAAGAATTTTTCGAAGGTGCGCTTGCCTGGGATCTGAAGATTGATGGCAAGGAATGGGCAGATGGAAAGAACGTGAGTCTATCGTATGATCTCGTTGTTGGTGTATTCACTTATTGGGCTCTCTGTAGTTCAAGTAAATGTATTTCAATCACTGTGCTTTACTGTAGATCTCTTTTCGTCCAGTTGTTTCTATCATTTTTGCTCTATTTAGTGGTAATGCCAATATCTCAAGCAAACGAGTTGCGGATTGTGTGTATCGCTGCAAGAGGTTCGTGCCTCCCGTTACCGGGACCATGCTTATAAGGTTTTCCGTTTCAACTCCTTTCCATGAGCATGAGCTATAGTTTGATTTCCGCTTCAGCCATACGGTTCTCCGTCGCTTTCTTTCCGGTTGAGGTGATTGTATATATACACGTTGCTTGACTCTGGCATCATTTGTGCATTCAGAATGCACTTGACCGTTTTCTTCATCTTGTTACTTCTTACAACTGGCAGCGCCTCTCTTCAATATCCTCTCCGTTACGAGGACCCATTCGTTGAAGACAAGCGAGAAACGTACCAATACAAATGGCCAATACACAGAGTAGCAATAATCGGCGCCGGAGCAGGGTATGGGAGAGTAAGTCCTTCGAAAATAGTGGCACAGACTAATATTGCTTTTTTTTCCACAAAAGAGGTCTTGTCGCGTATCGGGAATTTGCACGTATGGGATATCAAGTCCGGGTCTTTGAACGAGATTCTGTGCCTGGTGGAAACTGGCATTACACAGACGAAGTTCCGCTGAATGCACCTGTGCCCAATTTGGACCCTATTGAAGCAGATTTTCGACCCCATCTTCCACCGGAGAACGTGGATTTTCCGTATGAGCAGAATTTCGTCAGGATTCAGCCCGGAGTGATGGAAGAGGCAAGACGAGAACATAGAGCGCCAAAGCCGATTTGGCATTCGTTGACTTCAACCGCACCAAAGGTATATATCCTGAAGTAGTGCGGATAACGCGCGTGTGCTAATATTATCCTGCAAATGTTAGCAAAATCAAGAAGTGAGCCTTTTCACAACTCTACCAGCCTGCATTCTATGAATTTCCCATTTCAAACTCGTAGCTCAGAGAATTGCCTTGGCCAGACCATACTCCACTGAGTGCGTTGCCCTTTTCCTGAATAATCTTAAGGCTCGTCCTACTTTTCTAGCACTGACTCAAAATCATTTACAACGTTACGTCCGCACGTTTGCTTCTCTTCACGAAATCAATAGCAATGACAATAGCCCTAATACATCCTACAACACTCGTGTCGAACGCGTTGATAAGTTATATGATGCAGCTGGCAAAGAAGCTGGATGGACGCTTACGCTACGCAAATTCATCGAAACCGGACCAGATTCCTACAAAATACAATGGTGGACTGAGGTCGGTACAAGCTGTATGCCGCTTTGATTTCTGTACTATCTCTTGACTATACTAAACAGGAATTTGACGCTATCGTCGTTGCTTCAGGCCGCTTCTCCGCTCCTAACCTCCCTCGTATCCCAGGCCTTACACAGTGGGCCCAACTCTTCCCACATCTTATCACCCACTCTCGACAGTATCGTCGTCCAGAGGAATTTACCAACCAAACTGTTTTGGTTGTGGGTGGTTCGGTCAGCGGGACAGAAATTGCAGAGGATATCAGTGGGAAGGCGAAGAAGGTGGTTTTAAGTGTTAGACCGCACGAACGTTAGTATCGGTTACGCGTTGCTCTTTTTACTCATCCATCCTCATTACTATAGACTCGGTCTTCCGCGAGACGAGAAACATGTATCTCTCTCGAGTGCCTCAAAATGTTTCTATCGTTTCAGAAATCAAGTTTTTCCATCCGCTACCCATTCAATTAACCGACAAAAACTCGAAAATTCAAACAGGCGAAGTAGAGTTAATCAATGGCACGGTACGTGTTGGCTCGTGTTTTGCATTCGGCAAAGCCTAAAGTGAGCGTCTTTGCTTTGTAGCTACTGCGAGGGTTCGATAAGATCATATTCGCTACTGGTGATCATCGTTTCTCTTCTCTTGACCATACTTATCTTAAACTACCAAAGGATTTCGATACGCGTTTCCTTTTCTCCCTCAATATCACGATGCTTCTCTTCTTCCTAACGAAACGGTCCCGAGTGCAAGTGGACGACCCCAACCACTGATCACGGATGGATCCCACATTCGAAGTCTTCATCTCGATCTATTCTACATCGAGGAACCGACGATAGGATTCATTAACAGTACGCACCATTCCGCTCTCATCTTGAAAAATATTTCGGAAAACAATACTTACTCAAAAGTACCTGAACCTCTGCAGTGAACCTAGGCATCGAGTCATTCATGTACTCTGAATTCGCCGCTTCTGCCATCGCCAAAGTCTGGCGGGGTGAGGCGAAGCTACCGTCTTCGACAAAAATGTGGGAGTTGCACTGGCAGCGCGTCAGGGATGCCGGAGGAACTTATGGAGGTCAATTCATGTATCTGGGAAGTGCGAAGGAAGCAGGCGAGTGTCTTAGAAGGTGACTTGCATTGTTGCGATCTAATGATACTTCATAGCGCTGGTTCGATATATCATTGGTTGGCTCAACGAAGACGCTGTCAAGTACGGCGGACACCAGGTAAGATTTCTCTGTACCATCCTTGACGCAATCCTTATTCATTCACCGAATAGATCGATGGTCCGTCAGAGAAGTACGTCGCTTTGTCCACTGTTTGAGAACATGTCACTAACGAATTCCCCTTTTCTTGTTCATTTATCAGTCGACATCAAGTATTCATGGTTTGGGTTATAGCTCAATTTCCCGATTATAACGTTAAATCCAATCAGTCGGCTTTCAGTCTTGGTATTAAAGGATTCGGGATGAATGATAGCGAAGAGAGGCAAAGACTAGTAGAACCGTGGCCCGGGTTTGCTGTTGCTGGAATGGACGATTGGTGATAACAAAGTACGTTAGTCAGGCAAATTAGACTTGTTAGGCAACCTTGTTACGACGGTAAATCATTGAGTGAAGAACGACAGTATAAGCGGTGAAATCAAAATGTGTCAAAAAAATTACATGCTTAGGACGAAATAAAAATGTATACACCGACGCCAGCAGGATTTGAACCTGCGCCCTCAAAGAGGAACAGATACCCGAAGTAAATTCGAATCTGTCGCCGTAACCACTTGGCTATAGCGCCTTATGTATTCTTCTCCTCTCTATTCCTCTGCAGTTGAAATTAAAAATCACTTTGATACTTGGTTGCGAACGCATTCCTCATCGCTACACAAACCTCTCGATATGCCTCTTCAATCGTCTCATCCCATTTAAACTTGAAATTCGGGTGTTTGTCCCAGCCATGAGTGGTTTTCTCAACAACTTTGATACCAACTCTTTGTCTGCCCACTTCCTCGGATATTAGCCTTTTGTAAAACCTCTCTGCTTCCGCCCTCAACTCGTCCCACTCACAGACGCGAACCACGATATCGTGCGGAAGATATTTTCTCAACATATCTACGGGAGCCTGAGCTGGACTAAGCCAGGGTGACTTCTTGTCCGCTTCATCAACTCCGAGAAGAAAGGAAGTGTCGACAAGATTGGTAAACCATGCTGGAAGATTTTTGTCTTGACGAACATTTGTTGCCCTTCGTTGAGGTCGAGTAAGAGAGTAATCGACGCTGGGATACCAAGCGGCGATGAACACGATCCGGTATCGGGGATCGATGTATGGACCGAGTTCTCGGGAGTCCGAACATTGCTCTTTCGTCTGCGCTTCTGCTCCTAATAATTTACTCCTTTTCCGCATTTCCTCTCCTAATCTCATTGGAACTCCGAACGCTAAACTCCCGCCTGCGGAGAACCCGCTCATGGCAATGCGATGTGGGTCGACGCCTAATTCTTCAGAGTGAGATATGATCCATAGTAATGTCTCTAAACCGTCATCGACAGCGGCGGGATATGTATTTTCAGGTGCTAGTCGGTATTCAACAGATACCACCACTGCGCCGGCATATTCGGTCACAGAACGAGCCCAGCGAGCGTCGTCTGTTGCGTGCCCGAGCATGAATCCACTTCCATGAAAGTTGACCACTACAGGCCTGATAGGCTTTGCCTTCAATAACGATTGCTGATCGGACGAAGGGTAGTAAATTTGTAGTGAAATGGGTTCTTTATTTGTTGCTGATCTTTTTTTTGTCCCGTTTTCACTTTCGCCTTCCACAATTGACCTCGGTATCCTGATTGTCCTAGAAGGCTGTGGCGGTCGCGGACGAACAAATTTTCCAAGGAAAAATGAAAAATTTGTCAAGAATCGAAGCGGAAGGACTTTGAGGCGAAGAAGCCATATTGGTGGTGCTTCCGATGTTGACATATCATTCAAGCAAAAACAATCTTATTCTTGTTCGAGCTTTATCCGGTTTGAGTCTGTCTGACCCTTGGCGCATGCTCCACTTATACGACACTTAGTTTACAACTAGAGACATCGATCGACAATCTAAGGGACTCAAACCTCAGGCACCGAGGCCGGTCGAAGCTGTAGATACGAAACTCCACCAGCCAAATTCAGCCCCAACTCATGAACTTTTACAGTTTTAATCGGGGTACTTCCTTCCAGTAGTCAATATCAATTTTAAACAGAAACACTACGCGCGCAGTCATGCTTCCATCCTCAGAGAATGTCTTTCCAGCATCCTAGATGCCAACTTAGCAAGATGAAATATGTTCCTCAATTTGGTAGCGAAAACGAAACGCTGTACATTATCTCCTTCTCGATGTGCCTTTGAGAACCTAATAACGTAGATCTTGATACCATGCAGGTTGAAAGCGTGAAATGATAATACATACTGCTAAGAGTAAATCCATCTTATTTTCACGCAGTAGCTTGGGTGATGATGCGACACGTACTATAGAAGGAAGGAGACAGCGACAAATGTATGTCTACGCATATGTTCAGAGTATAATATTTTTCTTTACAAATTCTTGAATCTGATTAAGTATTAGGACCCCTTAGAAGCATCTAAACGAGATATAGCAAACACAAACCTGGCGCCATATTTATATTGTGCACAATGATCAGAGCCCTCAGATAAGTACCGTCTACTTCTTCTTCTTTTGAGCTTCTTTAACCCTCCTGGCATCTGCGGCATCTTAAAAACAGAAGACAAATGTGAGCTTGCTGTAGTTTCGCTCTATGGACACAAGGCATATAAGTTTGTACCTTTGGCTTTACATGCAGGACAGGTATCTCCCTGATGAAGGACATAATTCCCACAGCTGTGCTTACTGGCGCAATGTTTATAGTTGTGGCATTTTGAGCAATTCTGGCCGGATACAGGCTGGCCAGAGCAACCCTTCGTTGCTGCACAGTGATGACCTTGTCGAGGCATTGGGGGAAGGAAGGATGAGGGTCTGAGTCGGTACTGGAAAGGGTGTTATTTAACACATCCCGCCATTCAATCCTGGGGCGCTTTTGTAAACTAGGAAATCATCGAGTGTACTCATTCGAAGCACATGGATACATAGCTGTTCTACCGATGCCAGCAGGCTGTCATGACCTGTGCACACCGTGTAAATGTAATGAAAGTTTGGAATGCTGGCCAATTTAAACTTCTGCATGAAAGAGCGGAAAACCAGTATACACATGGTACAAGTACCTGAGGGATCCAACACCTTAGATTATGGATCAACATTACAACCCTATATCGACCATCTTATCTCATTACAAGCATAGAAATAGTACGGTCTCTTGACCAAGTTTATTTCAGTTTTTGGTCTAATGAAACCTTTTTTCCCCTTACTATCTACTCAGTCATCAATGGACTCCTGCAAAGACTCCTGTTCTATGAAGAAGAATCAAAAGAAAGATATCAACTGTACCTTCTCGAGGTTACATTCTACTGTGAAGATGCGAGCCATTTACAAACACTTCCCTCATTGTCAAATCTTTCCCGAGACTTTGAAACAAGATCCTTGAACTCCGTTCTTGTCATATTCACGTTAACAGCTTCCTCACCCAGAACTCGGCACGCCTCAAGCCACACTTCCCTCTCTTGCTCAAACCGCTTCTTGTCCTTGTGTAATATGCCGTTCTCCATCAGTGCCCAGTAGTAATCGGTAGAGAAATCCTCATCATCGCCAAATACATAGGCGAAAAGAGGAGGATACACCGAAGGGTACATGCCTGGGAAGTACATTGCTTGGTGAAAGAGATAGATACCGTAGCTATCAGAGATCAGACGTGAAAGTTGCAAGTTGTCAACCAGATTACGATTACGCTCCGCTTCGAGGATCAGCTCATCAAATATAACCTGATCTCGTACATTCCGCTCGCGCAGGGGATGGTCCTTGTCCCAATGGGGGTGATCTACGATAAAGAGTGGATATTGCGCAAAGGAAGATACGAAATCTGGACCTGAGAATTCCCAATCAATAATGGCTGTAATACGGGGATGAGATGAGTTGATATCGGTAATCATGATGTTTTGTGAGTGGAAGTCTCCAGGAGAGAGAGGACAGCCATGAACATCAATGGAAGGATCAAATAAGGCAGGAATGAGAGAACGCATGAACCATGCTTGAGAATGGATGTATGCCTTGGTATCAGAACCAAAGTTCGATTCATCTATGTCTCGAAGCTGAGTGTTGGCGTATGCTAACCAATAATCGGCAGCGTGAGAGTAGGATGTGGTTAGAAGACGGTGTCGGGTACCAGTTTCATTTGGGTCCACGAATAAGGAGCTGGAATAAACGCACAAGCTACCATCGGCTCCATCGAACAAGGCACCTTTTTTATCGAATCGATGCGACCACAGCTCGAGCAGAATGTCGATAACTTGTTGGAGGACTATGCGACGTCTATCGTCGTTCATGTCGTCCCACACCGAACTGAGTGGTACACCATCGACCTTGGACATGAGGATATAAGGCGAACGCACATCCTCCTCTGCACGAGCGTTATAATGAAATACGTGTGGAACAGGGATGGCGGTTCGAGTTTCAATATACTTCATTGTCACCACTTCGCTTTCAACCCGTTTCGAAATCGCAGAGTCATGATCCTCATTCATAGCGCCCTCAGATCGAAGAGGGACACGAGCGACAATAACTGTCTTTTGAGGGTCGTGAAGATGGAGGAAACGGACGAGATTGTACCCTCCGGAGAACTGGTCTTCCCAATGGCAGCCAGTGCCTTGAGGGAGTTGAGCAAATGTACATGCTAGGGAAGAGAGGTTGTCCCAGTTTACCAAATCAAATGCTGTTTGAACGCGTGAGTCTGCTGAAGAAGAAGTACTAGAAACGGAGGGAGATGCCATGTTGTCGGAGTGATAGTCAGAAGTTATCGGAACCAGATCAAAATCAAGCGCCTTCAAATAATCTGTTTTGGGCGCCAAAACCTTTTGAACTCCACTGTTATAGTCTGGATATAGTAGACAGAATTGTTCTGTTCTCATTTGTTTCTTGAGGGCATTTCGGTTCATCTTACCTTAAGCCTTAGTCCATTAGAGCAGAGATGAATATCATTTTTTAAACTTGTAAACAAGGATGTACCCACGCCATTTTCATGACTAGGATCCTAAATTCGATGGCACATCATGGTGTTTTCAAGATGTCCGGGAACCCTGTCGCCGGGGTTCATCGCACCTTTACCATGTGGCATATTTATATTCTCTGTATTTCATTCGGCATGATTCAATGGTGAGACTGACTTTATTGTTTTCTATCTACCAACTACAGTCAAATCCTGTTGTGACAACCAAGTACTTACATCATTTTCTTTCCTCCTTTCACATGCTTCCATAGGATCATGACTCAACTAATCACTCACTCCTGTGCTGTTGCTAAACTATTGTTCTCCCCTTATTCCCTATTCACTTGTCACTATTCTCTTCTTGCACTACTGTTCTTTAGCACTTATTGTTCTTTTGCTTGTTGTCATCCATTCCTATTGTCCTTGTACTTATTGTCTCAACTTGTATATATAGTGCAGTAGATAACTCCTAGTTCCCTATCTCAACCTCTTGGTCATTTGGGAATTAGGTTTGTGCTTGTACCCTTTACTTACACTCAATACTGACTTGGTCATTTGGGAACTAGCTTGCCTTATCTGACCCTTGTGATTGGCCCTTTGTGATCTCACAGTCACTGAGATCACTTTATTCCTTCTACCTTTGTGTGTTGAGCACTACTCACACTTAGGTTTGT